GATGAACCTCATTTAAAATTTCAATTGTGCCTCTCGAGATTTTGGTGGGGATTTGCAGCGCTTGGAAGAAAGATGTCTTCTCAGGCCCCATACCAGTATTCTGAGGAGGCAATTTTACGTCGCATGGAGCAATAGCACCTGCTTTTGCTGGAGCAGCCTAAATTTTCATAGTAACACTTAACTTGATAAGCAACAGGTGTCGCTACAACAGAAACCTCATATGACGCTTTACCTTCCTGTTTTCCAAAAGCTTTCCTCGAACATCACTAAGATCATCCTTGGTGAAAACAAACCCAATATTCCCCACAATATGAGGCAGAATTTTCTCCAGATCCGGATTTGTGTTTAATCGTCCACGGATTGCCTTTCTAATCATGGTATTCTTCCCCATCAATATCTCCGCATGGCCTGCAACCAGACCGAACATGAATGCATAATACATTTTCGATTATGCTACTCAGTGCCAACAGTTTTGATGTATACCTCGCATAGCCTGTCGGATCTCCTGCATCTGCTTTGAACCAACATTGTCAACCCCGACTAAAAAGCACTTTGAATACTCATCGAAAAGTGCAGCAATTTTTACAAAATACTGAGCCTTCCAGGTTGCCTTGTCTTCCCTGCCCATCGTGGTGAAGCAAGGATCGTTACTTCTAACGTTTTAAAGACCTGAAATACAAACTGATTCACATTCTACTATTCCCATAATACCAGCAACTAAAAACGAAAAATGACATTTTTCAACGCTGAGGCTACACACAATGAATTCTTTTGGGCGAGAACGAATTGCTTAAATTCCGAAGCTTCTACAACAATAAAAAAGCGGTAAACTTAAAGACAAGCAGTTAAATAGAAAAAAAAAATGACATTTACTCCCCGCAATCTTAAAAGAACATGTGACTACCCGCTAAGAAAATACGGTTAAAATAACCCTACCACTAAAAACGAGTTAAAGCACTTTCGGTTCTAAAGACACTCTACACTCTTAAATTACCCACACACCATCTGCCATAATTAATCGGCTACAATGAAACTGAAGTACCCAAACTGCGACAGCTAGGAGCTCGTTGGACCCCTCAAACTTCACCTCCCTAGCGGAGGCCATTGGCGATTTAGGATCTTGTATTTTTGCACAGGAATACGGTAGTTTAATTTTAACGATCAAACTATTGCAGCGTAATAACAGCACAAAAGAAATGAGTGAGGTTACCGATGTCAAAGGTGTAACCTCTTGAAAAGTCAATTAACGTTAATGGTTTCCAACTTTCTGAACAGTGGGCTACACGTGATAATAGCCAGTCTTGATGCAGTAATTTGGTAGTTAGAACATAGGCTAGGATGGGTAATTTTAATTGATTGATGACCTACAATCGTAGGGTAAAGCCGACATTTGACTACAGGACAGTAGTAGCATGTAGCACAAGTTCAAGAGAAGAACAAAGTTGCGTATACAAATATTCAATTATATTCTGCTACCCGTATGCTTAAACAAACGGCTAAAATAAGATAGTTTTGAATATTTATCTAGAGCATCATCTATAGGGGCGTGACCCACAGTTTTTGGTGGTTGGCTGAAGGTGGAACTGGCGGTGACATCTTCGTGAGAGTCGTTCTAACTTCTTTCCCATTTTACACAAATATAGGATTTTACTTCGTTAGAGATTCAGCATAGCTAACAAGTTCCTCTTTTACTTAGTAATCGGAGTTTTTACTTTCTGGAGACAACATGGAGATTTTGCTGCTACAATCTAGTTTAAAAACTTGAAACTAGGAAAATTTTTAAAAGATGAACCGACGCAGATAATTACCATTCAGCCCCCTGAACTTGATCTCTGAATTCATGGGAACTTCTCCTGAATTTTTGGAGTCAGGTGTAGTAGCTAAAGACGTATATAGTTTCTCGGTCTTACCCAGCAAATGCAACTGTTAGAAGACATGCTACTATTTCAATCTTAGGATTTCATTGGTACTCTTCTGCAGACAAGTGAGTTAGCGAAAACAGCACCTAAGGAGATTTATGATTCCAGCTGATGAAAGGTCCCACGTTACACACTTACATCACAAGTTTAATTACAATACTTTAAACTTTGCATATCTAGCTTAATTCCCATCAATACCTGTTGTATTTAGCCTTCTAATCTGCGTTGAACACTCAATAACCGTCCAAAGCGGATGCTTTCGATCAACATTGGTCACCTAACAAGATTCTAAAGCTTCTAAAATGTCTTCACAGTGCTCTTGACTGCAGAATATTTGAGATCTGTAATGTTCAGAACTGCAAAAAAACTTAGCATATGGTTGACTTTTTTTCCTGCGGCGATAACCCTCTGTTGGAATAATTCCAGGAATTCACGATTACTACGAACTTTAAAGCGTTTTTTCTTATTATTGAGATCCTACCAGGTAGATGTTGGTTCCTCTAACTTTTTCGGTATTTTTGTGGCATATGTGCATTAAATAAGTGAACAATACCAACTTCTTTTGCAAATGATGACAGCAGTAATGGTCCCTCACTGAATTACTGTCAAATGACTCCATACTAACGGTTGTCTTGCCCACCATCATAAAATCTTTCGAAAAAATATGTGCATTTCCTGTTACGAAGTGTATTAAATAATATTTCCTATATAATTTCAGAACTTTTTAATTGAACTGGTTTTCGCTTACATAATCAGGAGCATTTCGCATACGATAGGAAAATCATACGAAAATCATTTTTTTTTTACTTATTAAAAATTTAGTGACAGCTAAAGTGTGAAATAATAATGATATGAAAATTAAAATCAGTCATGTATCAGCTAGTTGTACAACGATTGATGCTGAAAAGGTAATACACTGGTAGGACAAAAGTATTTTTTTTTAAATCACTGCAAGTTGTCTGTTCAAAAGAGATTGTTCTTCACCAACTTTGGCTTACTGATAAATAATGAAAAAATTGCATGTGACTTTGACTCCTATGTAGCAGTAACTTACGTATTCACCGGAACAAAAATCAATTCACACTCGATGAACTTCTCCAGCCAGCAAGTCGCAAGCCACCAGTTCTGCCTTTTACATCGGTTAAGGCTAATCGTTCTTCCCCGCTTGATCATTATATAGCAATGAATACGGACGTTCTTTTTCAACCAGTACCAGATTAACAGACTGAAGAGCACTTCAAGAACTTTCTTTCAAATCTCTTCAAAAACAATTATTTCTATCAAGAGTTCTATTTTTTGCGTTCCTGTAACAACGCTGACAAGTTCAAAGTTGTCAGAAGCCATAGTGTAATAAGCATTCTTTCATTATTTCTGATGATCAAGAAGCTTTCAATTTACTTGCTCAGCTACACCGAAGGGCCTGAAGTACTCCTTTGCGGTTCACGTGTTACTACTACGGAGAACCTCGCAGAAACCTTGAGTAATTTTACCTCATGACAGATATTTCCAAACTGGTAACTGTCTGTTTTTAAATTGCTTAAAACCAACAAAAAACGACTGTTAGTCTCCGAATCGGTCTACTGAGTCCATGTAGTCCTCGTTAGATATGCATTTTATTACAGAACCCATACTTTCTCTTCCAAAAAGGAAAAAAACTATTACTCATTATGGGAACGCACAAAAGCTGTCGATTTTTCGCTGTCAATTTTCTAATGACCATACCCACCAGGAACAATTGAGCTTTTTTTAAAAGCCTAAAGAGTAGTTCCATTTCTAAAAAAACTTCCAAAACACTCGTTTCTCTTTTTTTTTTTTTTTTTTTTGTTTGGACTAAAGCTAGGAATCCTGCAGTGCCATGCACACAGAACGGGGAGTACATGAACCAGAGCAGTCTGTTTTGTAAACTAATAGTCTTTTCTTTTTGCACTTTTTCAACGCTGTCAGTTTTGCAAACTTCATATTTTATTAGAAATGAAAGGTGTACAAAATTTTGAATGAAGCTGCTGAGCAACGAAATGTACTTCAAAAAAGATATGCTTAAGTATCGCCTTGATACAACGGCCATTGAACCGCAACAAAAACTTGTTTTCGCTCGTGTAGCTCCAATATCATGGCCTCCAAAAGTTTATAAAAAAAAAAGTCTGTAACATAGCAGTATTTTCACAATGTCAGAATACTTCTTCCAGCTCGCTTGAGGTCTAAATAGCTCCTTTAATGGTCCAGGAGCGGAACGAATAGTCGGACCACAAACACAGATAAAAAAGTCCTTAATTTGGCCGTAACAATACCAGTTAACTTAGCCTCCCATTCTTAGTACTAAAGGTTTTTAGATGCCAGTACTGATATTTCTGACTGTTGCCTGCCAAAAATTATAACCACATATGAATGGTGAATAAAAGCTTTGAAACCGTGCTTACGTATAAGATCAACTATTCAATCAAACTTCCTCCTGTTAATTCCTTACAGTAGGCCGGAAACACAATTTGACACTAACATTTTAAACCATTCAAGAAAGAATTCAATCAACGACTTCTGGCAGGAAGGTCCAGAATTAGCAAATGTTACATTACGAGCACTAACCAATGGAAAGAATCACGATAGCAAGGTGCTCATTGGACAATTGACAGCACTCTGTCTGAGAGGTTCTATTTTTACTATTTAGTCATTTGAAAATAAGGGGAGCAACAAAAACATTGAGAAGAGCAGAGCGCACTTCAAGATGACTCAAATGTGAATGAACAGCGAGGAACAAACTTTTAAGATGCACATCGCCCTACACTGATGCAGTCAACCGGAAATTGACAAATGTTGACGCTGCCGGCGCGCTGAGCAAAATTTTGCGTTGCATTTGTCGAAAAAAATTTAGAGGTCAAAGATTATGGCAGTTTGCCAAATCGTTGAAGTGCGCGCGTATATTTCTTGCTGCGTTTTTTTTTCGGCCAAAATTGAAGTCCAAAAAATTATCCGGGTTTTTCTCTTTTTTTTCTTTTTTTTTGGGC